ATCCACTGGAGTTTTGCTTATTGCAACAAAAAAACCCACACTGGCTAGAATAGGATAATGACTCTGTAAGAAAGCCTGCTGTGTGTTGGAAGCTGACATGGGGTAGCTGCAAGAAGAGAGGGGAGACTCTGGTAGGAATAACTAGCAGAATCATGATGAAAAGAACTGTAATCCAACAGGATATTTCAACCCTGATTGAAATTGTGCCAGATGTCCCAGCACGACTGGGCTTGGAAAAAGCCATCTGCATTCCAAGGATCCAGCTGGCAGACTATTCAAATAAGAGTTTAATCCAACTTCAAACCAAGGAATGAGTGGGAAATAGCCTCGCATACTTGAGATGGTAGCCAAGAGTGCTCCATGTCCTCGGCACAGGACAGATGTCAATCCAACCTCAGTGTTGTTTTTAGCCACAGATGTGAACCGCCCAGTTATAGTCACACATTAAAATATTTCCTGTCCTGTTTTGAGGCCTTTTAGACCTCAGAGATGTGACTTACTTTACCCAAGATGGTTGCTTTCATGAGTATTTTAGTACAGTTTTATGACCTAAAAATAGATATACTATTGTTTGGAATAATAAAAAAGAAAATGAAAAAGTATGTATCATATTCTCACCAAATAAAATATAACTGGTTCTTAAAAATCAAAAAAAGCATTACTGAATTCTTCTTATAATAAAGAATGTACACAAATATACCTGTCTTTATTTTTACTTTTAAAAATTCTTTTTCTTATTCTATTTTCACATGAGTGTAAGTACCTATGCTTGTGTGTGTGTGTGTGTGTGTGTGTGTGTGTGTGTGTGTATGTGTATTCATGTGTGGGGTAGGCATATATTTTGGTACCTGTGCATGTGGAGGCCGAAGATCGCGATCAAGAATCATCCTCTATTGTTCTATTGTTATTGCACATTGTTCATTGAGTCAGGGTCTCTCAATTGAATCCAAAGTTTACTGATATGGCTAGTCTACCTTGCAGCTCGCTTTGAAAAACCCATTTTTTTTTTTTTAATCTTCCAAGGCTGGCTACCACAGGCAGGCTACCATACACACCCACTTGGTATTTATGTAGTTTTCTGGAGATGCATACTCTGATCCTCAGACTTGTACATCAAACACCTTAACCACTGAGCCATCTCTCTAGCCCCTGTGCCTGGTTTTTAGGAACTGAATCTTGGGCTGGTGAGATGGCTCAGTGGTCAGAACATTAGCTAGTCTTCCAAAGGACCTGGGTTCAATTCCCAGAACACACATGATGGATGATAGTAACAGTCTGTAACTCCAGTTTGTGAGGAAAAGACACCCTCTTTTGGCCTCCATGGGCACTCCATGTGTATGGTATATAGACATAAATGCTAGCAAACATTGATACAAACAAAATAATAAATTTATTTCAATTAAGAAAAAACTGAATCTTTTTAGTCAATTGGAATCTATGCTCTCTAGTTCCAAAATATTGACTATTGCAGAACCAAATCCTAAGGTTCTGTCCAGATCTGGAAACGTACTGACATTTATTGAACAATTGCTCCATGTCTTTTATTTAGTTGTGCCAGTCAGCTTTCTATTACCAACAAATACCTGAGAAAATCAACATGTAAAGAGAAAAGTTTTTTTTATGTCATGGTTTGTGGCCTGGTTAGTCTCAATTGTCAACTTGACCCAGCCTATATTCATCTGAGAGATAAAAAAAAACCTCAATAGAATTGCCTAGAGTAGGTTGGCCTACTGGGGGTGAATAGAGAATTCATGTAGGAGGGCCCAGCCCACTGTGGGTAGCACTATTCCCATGGAAGAGTCAATGAACAAGCTAGCAAACAGCACCTTTCCTCCTTGATTTCTGCCTCAAGTTCGTGCCCTGAATTCCCTCCGTGGTTAATTGGGGCCTAGACGTACAGGTCAAAAAAATCTTATTCTTCCCCAAGTTGCTTCTGATTGTTATTGGAGACCAGAACAATCTGGGAATCCTGTTGCTTCAGGCCCTGTGGAGAGGCAGGGGTGCTTACCTCATGTCTCAAGAGCAAAACAGACAAAAACTAGGCTGTGGTCCACTGAACAACCTAGCACATGCTTCCAAAGGCCTGGAGACCTCCCTATAGATTCCAACACCTCCCAAGAACCCTGGGAAGCAAACTTTAAGAACTTTGGGGGACACTGGCTGTTCCAATTATAACACAGTGATAACTGTCTTCATGCTTGTATCATCCTTATACATGGCTACTTTATCATAATCCATTAAGAATTAAGTGGAGAGTTATATAAGACATCAAGGTTCACAGAGCTGGACACTGAAGAACTAAGATTTAAATCCAGAAAGTGTAGCAACATGATCTTCTCTCTTAACTAACATATTCACACCTTGTTGATTTTTTTTTTTAGAACAGATACCATCTTGCCTCAGCATTCCTGGCCAGCACCTTGCTGAAAAAAACACCTGCTGTGACCACAGAACTTTTCTATTCCTAGTGAAATTCATCCAAGAGACAACTTTAAGTTGGCTTCTTTATCAACGGTAGAAATAACCACCTATTGAACCTTTCTGTTGGCAAAGTAACCACATGTAAGAGGAAGGAAAGAGAAAGGACAAGTCAACTGAAGACAATAGGGAGACAAGAAGGGGTAGAAAGAAAGGGCAGCGGGTTTGAGGGGGGAGTAAGTGAGAGAAAGAGATTTAGAGAAAAAAGCGCTGGAGGAGAAAGAAGTGAAAGGGAAAAGAGGAACTGGGGGGGGGGACTTAAAAATAATTCTGTGTATATGTTAAGCGTGAATCTTTCCAGCCTGGAGCTTTTCTATTTCTAATTAGAGATAGCTTCCAGGGCTGCAGCATCAACTGTTCACCCCAGCTCAAAGGATCCTTTTCTTATTTTGTGATATTACAGAGTTCCTCGGCTCTAATAACAAGTTGGGACCAATTTCAGGGCTACTTCCTCAAACAATTGCTTCCTCTTTAAAAGGCTAAAATTACATAATGTAAGTTGCATCCACCAGGTGTTGCAAATGTACTTTACTTGACAAGGTTCTGAAGCAGAGTCATGAACCTATTCACAATAGATATCCAGAAAGACCATCCCTGGGGGGCCATGAAAAGCCCTGTGCACAGCCCGTCATAAACTGCTTGATGCCTGCTGCAGCCTCCACCCCCTCCCTGTACTTCACAAGATAAGGTCTTTGTACTTTGAATTTTTATCCACATATAGGAGCTTTCAAATGACCTGTGCTGGGTAGGAATTTTTTTTTTTTTTTGTCAGCTTGACACACGTTCCAGTCATCTGGGAAAAGAGAGCCAAATTGAGAAAAACGCTTCTATCAGATTGGCCTGTAGGCAAGTCTGTAGAAGCATTTTCTTGATTAATGATTCTGTGGAGGGCCCAGCGTACAGTGTGTGATATCCCACCTGGGCAGGTGGTCCCAGGTTGTTTAAAAGATCAAGCTAAGGTATGATGAGCACACCCATAAGCATTTGTACTGGTTGGTTTTGTGAGTCAACTTGACACAAGCTAGAATCATCAGAGAGGAAGAAGCCTCAGCTGAGGCAATACCTTCATGAGTTCCAGCTTTAAGGCATTTTCTCATTTAGAGATCAATGGGCGAAGGCCCAGCCCATGGTGGATGGTTCCATCCCTGGGCTGGTAGTCCTGGGTTCTCTAAGAAAGCAGCCTGGAGAAGCCAAGCCAATAAGCAGCATCCCTCCATGGCTTCTGCATCAGCTCCTGCCTCCAGGTTCCTGCCTTGTTTGAACTGTTGTCCTGGCTTCCTTCAGTAATGAACAGCAATGTGGAAGTATGAGCTGAATAAATGTTCTCCTCTCCAACTTGCTTTATAGTCATGGTATTTGATCACAGAAATAGAAACCCTAACTAACATAGCATTCTTCCATGGTTTTTGCTTGAGTTCCTGCCTTCGGGTTTCTGCCTTGAATTCCCTTTATGATGTACTATAAACTGTAAACTGAAGTTCCTCCTTGAGTTACCTTTGGTCATGGTCTTTATCATAGCAACAGAAAGCATTGATATAACCCCATACATTTTTTATGACCTGATTTGCTTTCTGTCATCCTTTACTGAAAAGTTGAACAGAGATGTTATAGTTTGTAATAAACAAAGCTGAAAGCTGACCTTCCAAACAAGATACAGTGGATGAATTTGGTAGAATTATACAAAGGAAGAGTAAGACAATAGTTGTGTGTGTGTATGTGTGTGTGTGTGAGAGAGAGAGAGACAGACAGACAGAATTTGAATGTTTTATAGATAAGAAATTAGTTTCCCCAGACTACTGAAAGTAACTAATTGAAAATGCGTATTTTCAAACATATCATCCATTGTTCCCTCAAGTTTTAGATGAGGAGTGTTCTGAAAATCCTAATTGAATGGGTCATAAGCACCCAACTATTCCCCACCCAAAGAAAAAGGGTCTTTTTCTGCTTATTCTAGCTTCTGGTGGTTCCATCCAAGCATTGTTGGCTGGTGGCTGAATCACTCCAATCCCTAATTTGTTGTTTGTCTTCATACTGTTTCCCTTTCATATTTTCTAATTATTTTTTATTTTTATAAAGATAGTACTGTAGAATTTTTTCTCATGTTAATCAAGCATCATCTCATCCCTAATTACCACTGCACAGATATCTGCTACCCTTATTTCCAAACAAGGTCTCATTCTGAGATTCTGGGGAACCACAAGAAGTTTGAGACTCAGTTGGACACACTGCAAAAAAATGTTCTTATTTCTTGGTTACATGTACCCCAAAGTGCTATCACTCCTTACAGTTACAGGTAAAAGTGCTGCTTCTTTAGTGAAATGATGTTAGACCTGTTTGTGTGTACATGTATGCTTGCATGGGATCTCTGTTTATCTGCAGAGTTTGGATCTGAAGTCTTCTCAAAAAGTTCACAGGCTAAAGGCTTGTTCCAAAGCCTGTGACACTACTGAGAAGTGGTGGAATCTTTAAGGGGTGGGGCCTATTGGCAGGAGGTGACTGGAAATGTGTTCTAGAAGGTTATATTATGACCTCAGCAACTTCCTTTCTGTGTTTGCTACCTAGATACTAGAAGCTGTGCAGGTTTGGTGTACCACACACTGCCCATCATCATGGTACTACAGGCCTCAAAGCAACAGGTGAGTTGAATGTGGACTGAAGCCTCTAAAATGGTGAGCTGAAATAAACTTCTTTCCTCCTGTGACTCATATAGGATACTTTCTCAGTGATTAAGAGTTGACAGGTACCATGTTGTTGAACGTTTGTAGTAACATTAAAAGTTGATAATTTAGACAGGCACAGAGGTTCATATTATAATTACAACTCTCAAGATATTCTACAAGTTCAAGGCCATCCTGGATTACATAATGAATTCCAGTCTAGTGTGAGACCCTTTCTGGAGAAAAAAGAAAGAAAGGAAGGAAATAAAAAAGAAAAGAAGAAGGAAGAAAGAGAGAAAGACAGACAGACAGACAGACAGACAGAAAGAAAGAAAGAAAGAAAGATTAGCCATCCAATATTAGTTCTCATTATTTTTATTTTATGTGTATATGTGAATATCTATACATGTACACATGTATCACCAGGCAAGAACTGGAGTTACAGGTAGCTATGAAATACTGCGTTGGTACTGGGAACTGAACTCTAGCCCTCTGCCAGAATAGCAAGTAAGTGTTCTTAACCACTGGGCAAAACTCACCAGGCCCCTCACATTATTTTTCAAAAGTATCGAGAAATCTCAACCTGGAAATGATTATGGAACTGATCCAAATGTTATATGATGTCATCTTTGGCTTATAGATGTTTGGCACTCAAAAATTTCCACTTTTAGACATAATACACAGGAACTCCTTGACTCATTTTCTCAAGCTCCAGTTAGAATTTATTACATCAGAAGTTCAGTGTCCAGAGTTAGTTCACAATGACACTGTCTGCTATACATGCTTTTTACTGTAAATTTTTGCCATATATTCTTCAGTAAGTGCTGTGGAATGAATGTGTCCTGTAGTCCCAGGTATTGTGTTGAAGCCTTAATTAGAAAATTGATGGTACTTTGGTGTCCCTGCTTGGGGAGATAATCAGTTATAAGTGTGGATTCTTTGTGATGGACTTAGTGCCTAATAGAGACAATCTCAGGCAAGCCAGGCATGGTGTCTCATGTCTGTAACTCCAGCACTAGGGACGCAGAGGCAGGAAGCTTGCCATAAGTTAAAGAAAGTTAAAGAGCAACTCAAGCCACATAGTGAGTTGCAAGACAGCTTGGGGTACAAGATGAGGCACTATCTCAAAAAACCAAAACCAAATAACCCTCAAACAAAACAAACAAAAATGTAACATAAAATAGAAGATTTTCTTTGGCTTTGTCTATGTCTCTGTCTCTTCTCTCCTCTTCTCTCTCTCTCTCTCTCTCTCTCTCTCTCTCTCTCTCTCTCTCTCTCTCTCTCTGTCAAATAAACATCACAGTTGTAAGAACAGTAAAAAGTTAAAAAGCAAACAAACAAAAACCAAAACAGCCATGATAGGCTGAGTCAGGAGGATTACCGTGATTCTGAGGCTATCCTGGGCTACTACATGGTGAGTTCTAGTTCAGCTAGGACTACAGTGTGATGGTTTTAAAGAATGAACAAAAATCTCCTAGTACTTGGATTTTCAAAGATCATGGCAACATGAGAATAAGAACCCTTCTCAAATATAAAACAACTGAGAAACAAGGAAAACTACTGAGTGGGCTGAAATGAGTTTGCTTTATCCTCAACTGAACATTTACTTGATTTGAGGTATGCAGATTTGAGAACGATTTGAGGAAAAATGGCAAATTTTAAGATTCAGTATAAGGGGCAGATAAATAGCATCAATGATTATAGAAAGAGTATGCACCAGGATTGCAAACTCTTTGTGTGCTTTGTGTAAACTTATTTCCTTCTTACAGGTGCCATTTCCATTTTCTGACCTGTGTCAGTATTCTAAGACAATATGGAAAAAAAGGCATTTATGTAATCATAATCATTTTAATAAGATTAGTAACAATATTGGCAGTTCTAGAATTAGAGTCAAAAGCAATACAGTGGCAGAAAAGGCAATCCCATCATTTAATATTAAATGTGATTATACGCAAGGTGTTCTGTCATCTGTCTACATCTTAGACATGGTAATTATTTTCTGCATTTAGTAAGTCTTTATTTTATGAGAAATGTTCAATCATGTATTGTGCAAAGGAAGAGGTCTTTGGATTCTGCTTAGGAAGTCTGGATAGCTAGTGATTGCTTCATGTTTGAAATTGGCTCCTAGCATCCTTGATATGCATCCACTTTTGCTGCCATCTTCTTGTGTCTTGTAACTCAGTACCATACATGTTGTTGGCATATGGTCCTTGAAGAAGCCTGTGCTTGAAGCTCTGGGTAATTGGTTAGGAAAAGCTGAATGGCATGAATGAGCGGTAATGAGTTGTGTTCCTTTAATCTGAGAGGTCCCTTCTGGAGATGGATGATGGCATCTCTGTGTTCAAGATTGTACAGTGATGACATAGATAATGGGCAGCTCATGATGTGCCTTTGCTAAATCAGGAGACTGGTGTTTGCCTGTGGGTGTTCTTTCCTTCTCAACATGCCTCCCCTGCACCCCTAGAGCCCTCTTCACATTCTGTTGCTTTCGTACTTCTCAAATGTATAATTAAGGATTTCCTATGGGAATTAAGTAGACCTGGAAAGATTAAGGTGATTTATACCCATTACTGATTTGTCACTGAAACTACAGGGACCATAATGCCCAGTCTTAATTAAACTTTCCCTATGATTATGTTTACACGTGAATATGTGAAAGATCATACGCTGTGGCCAGGTCAGTTTACCATGTGGATGCCTCCTGCTGGTTTTGCCAAGTGGCAGTGGGATGGAATAAATGGGCATGTTTTTTCTTTATTTGCTTTTAGAATAGGCTTTATTTCAAACCCCATAGAATCGCCACATCCTTTTGGTACATTTCAACCTGAGTTCCTTACTGTAAAAGTAGAACTGTATTGAGGGGGAGGGACCTTTATGTTAATAAAATGTAACCTAAAGAAAAAATTCGGGACATTTAAAATATCATTGCCCCTTCTAAGGTTAGGGGACTTGACATTTCCTCTCAGAAATAGTCCTGAGCTAAATAATAAGTTTTTTTTTTTTTTGAGAAAATCCCAAACTCACTGATATCTTACATAGCAGCCTCTTTTATATTGATGTGATGTCTGAGATAATGATCTGTCTCTCCACTTCTTAGTTTTCCATTCTATTTTTACAGAAAGTAAACAAACTTATAAACAGTTTAGTTTATTGAAGGATGTTGGTCGTAGAGATATATTTTGGTTTAAAGTTATCTTTCCAATTGTTAATTGTTTTGAGGTACAGATCCAGAACTTTTTTTTTACAGCTCGGGATGGTCTTGAACTTGTCAGCTTCCTGCTTTAGCTTCCTGAGTGCTGGGCCTACAGGTGTGTCTATTACCAAACTTGGATAAAAATTAGCTTAAAGGAGTTGTTTGGAGGGGTGATGTTTATTTAAACTTAACTAGAACCAAAAGCTTTCTGAGTACCTCCAAGAAATGACTTTTTCTGAGAAAGGTGGATTGCCTGAGTACTTTCAATTCCTCTTCTGATAAAGAGAGGTAAATGGGAGGGTATAGTTTCCAGAAAGTGGGAAAGCATGGCTCATATATGTACAGAGTACCTTTTGTATAGACTTGGCATCATGAATTTCATATATGATGAATGTATATCCAATTTTAATTATTAATGTGGGAATCAGCAGTCGGGAAAGCATCTAGGAAACACTCTGGGGTGGAATGCTTAGTGGGTTCTCATGCAAATGACCACACAGCCTAGGCTACAGAGTAAGACTATTTGTAAAAAAAAAAATACAAACAAATTAGTTTATCTCTGTCTATTCTCAAGTTTCTTAGAGGGCCAAGTATGCAGAGAATGCAATTATGACAGATTAAAAAAATATTTAAGATTATATCTTAGTGCATCTTGAAGGATTTTTAAAAGTCTTCTGAATCATCTAGTCTAAGGCTAATAATCCAAGCCCAAGCCTGAGACACTCATAGCTACAGGCTGCTCCTGGTTATTGTATGAGAATTATTTCCTCCTGCTGGTCTAACAGAGCTTAGGAGGTTCAGCATGCTTGTTAAAGGCTGAGACCCTGTATGACAGAGTGTACTCTGATTGTCTCCATTTCCTTGGTGATTTATGAGCATCAGTCCCACATATGAAGTAAGATGAAAATGCCTTAATGATGTGTTTGTCATCTCTAATTACAGTGAGATTTATTTTCCAATATGTTACTGCAGGTATATTCTTGATTGCAATTTATTCAACTATATCATGATAAAAAGGAAGAGCAAATAATGGCAAGAAGAAAGTACATGTCCAATGAAAGGAAACACCCATGCGCGCGCGCGCATGCACATGCACACACACACACACACACACACACACACACACACACAGAGAGAGAGAGAGAGAGAGAAGCACATGCACACATATACATTCACACATCATATACTTCAACATACTGTGTTTTCAAGAATATACACAAATTTGAAGATGATTTACCAGTAACACCATTTTCCATTAAATAAATGGTTGAAGGTTCAAGTTTACTAAATATATTGGAAATAGTATTTAGTAGGATGCAGTTTTTGTATGGAGGGGAGGTGTGTTTGTACAAGTTTATATGTGTTCATGTGTGCAGATGCATATGGAGGCCATAGGTAGACAGATATTAGGTGTCTTTTTCAATTGATCTCCACATAAGTTTTTGGGACAAAGTCCCTCACTGAACTCAGAGCTTACTGATTCCACTAGACTGGCTATCCATCCAGCTCCAGAGCTCTATCTGCCTTATCTATGAATTACAAACCCTGGGGTTTCAGACACACAGTCCTGCATCTGGCTTTATATGTAAGTGTTGGGGCTCTCAACACAGGCCTTTGTGCTTTGTATTTGCACAACAGGGGTATTACCAAATGTGCTATCTCTCCAACCCCTAGTCTTTTGTTGTTTTTTTTTTTGGGGGGGGGGGTGATTGTTGTTGTAACTTTAGGCCAGGGTCTTCCTCTATTAGTATCACAGGTCTTTTTCCCCCTTTAATTGAAAATCATTTTTTTCTCACATAATATATCCTGATTATGGTTCTCTTCCCTCTTCTACTTCTAGTTCTTCCCCACCTCTCCTCTCGTTGGATCCACTTCTTTTCTGTCTCTCACTGGAAAACAATGGGCTTCTAAGAGATAAAAATAAAATATAATAAAACCTATTACATTGAGGTTAGACAAGACAAACCAACAGAAGGAAAAGAGCCCAAGAAAAGGCTGAAGAATCAGAAACCCACTCATTCACTCACTTACTCAGAAATCCCATAAAAACACGAAACTGGAAGCCATAGTATATATGCAGAGGACTTGGTGTTGGCCCATGCAGGCTCTGTATATACTTTTAGTGTCTGAGACTCAGAGGTCTTAAAGTCATGGTACAGATTACAATATAAATATTATGAATTTAAAATATTTATCAGAAGCATATCCTAATTAAAAATATAATTGAATATTTTATTAGTCAAAATAGTTTATGAAGATACTATTAGGTTGCTGTGATCACTGAGAAAATATAAAAATTTTAAAACTTTCATGTTTATAATCTCTTCAAAGAAAAATAAACTGAATCCTACAGTGTTCTAAAACTCTTTAAAAAACATAAAAACATGAAATGTATACTTGCATTATATACCACATTTATAGCTATTTTAAACCAATATTACAAAACTAACCCAAAGATACATCTTGATTATATAGACTTACATTCTTATGAAAAGTATTTCTGAGATTTTATTTTTGGCCAAAAAAAAAAAAAAAATAGAATTTTTTTTGTTAAATACCTGGCATTCTTAAGGTATTATAAATTCAGTTTTCTTATTTTTCTGGGACTCTGGGAGTATTACATTCATGCAAACACTTAATCAGAACAGTCCCTCTTTGTTTTGAGAGAGAGTTTGTAATTTATCAATGCTCTTCATAGTTAAGGAAATATTTTACCTCTACACAAGGGAGGTAATGAGTTTTCTCCACTGCAGACACAAAAAGACCAAGTTTCTGTCACACAATTTCAACACTAGTGCCGTTGTAGATCTCCAAGGCAAATCCTTCGCTACATGGGGTGTGGAATGCTTTATAAATTTCTGTCCATTGTGTTCAGTTTTACAGAGACAAGATAAATGAGAATGATTAAGAAATTCACCTTAGATCCAGTAATATTAGTGGACCTGACGAAGACCCACCAGAGAATGAAAATCAAGAGGAGGAAAAGAGGAGGCAACAGAAAATACAATCAACAGGTATTTTTGTATCTGTTTTAATGTATAGTTTTAATGTCACTTGAGATCAATTCTTAGGATCACACATAGGGACAGACTCCACCTATGTCTGCTGAATTCCTTTGAATAATGTGAAAGGATCTTCTAATTCCAAAGCTGTCTGTATTTTAAAAATATTAATCTTATATGTTTTAAATACATATATCCCAACATTTATTTAACATCTTGCCTAGAAGCAGCAGGACAGGACTCCAGAGAATCTAAAGCCTCTGAGCAAACCAGGATCTAGATAATATACCAGGAACCACATACTAAAAGTACCAACAAAAGTGAAGGCAAAACTGATTGATGTCCATCCCTTTAACTATTTCTAAGTTTGGGACAAATAGAAGAAAATTTAGGAAGAGCCAAAATTCCCTAAAGAATAGTAATAGCTTATGATTGTTGAAAATATGAACTTGGAGCTACTAAGAATTTAACATTCTGCTCATTCTAGGCAATCTATATCATTAAGAAGCAGACAGTTATGCACATGCTACTAAAACTGGATGAAGGCATTGGAATGGGAATGGTTTTATCTTTAAAATATCTTATCTTTTTATAGCAAAAACTTTGGAGAGTGACTGGACGGTGTCCAGGGCAAATAGCCTTGGCTTCAAGCTGCCTTTTGCCTTTGTAGCTGTTTCTAATTAACCCCTGTGGAAATTTTTTTGCCAGCTTAAATTCCATACTAAAAAAAAATGCTTATTAAATCTGTACAATAAATCAGCTTTTAGTACATCTTGTTGCAGAAAAAAAATGAAGTAATTGCCATAAACACAGATATGTTTTAATACAGATCATAATGGGACGTCTTTGCTCCAAAACAACAATTCCAGTGGGTCTGATTAGAAGCATGGAGCAACCTCACACATCTCCCTAACGTGAGCATGTTCACACAGGCAAAAACAACCTCCAATCTTCCAGACTTCCGCTTATTTTTCTTTTATTTTGGGCTATCCAATGCTAGCGCTTCTGAGGAACATCTGCTATATGTTTAATTGGCTATAGTGTCAGCCAAGTGCAAGGAGTGCACACTGCTTCATTCTGATCTCCTTCAACTCCTGACCTTGTTTGACACGCTATATAGAAATGTCAAAAATTCCTCAGTCAGGTCCTGCAAGCACCTGCAAACGCTCTGAGCTTGATTGCAGGCAGCTGATGTTGATTGCAATGAGTGCTGGATTTTTTTTTTTTTTCTTTCTCTCTCAGACTTTCTAACTGGTAGAAATTAGAATTGAGGAAGACCAGTTGGGCCTCTGCCATTCTTTCATTATAGTTCCAGTGAATACATGTACAAGTTCTTCTGTTTAAAGGAATTCTAGCAATCTGGGGTAGAGGGGGGTTGTAGGGGGAAGCTTCTTTTTGTATTTAAAGGCAACTGTGGGAAGTACTTTTTTGACTACCATGATCTTTCTGTTAGTAAGTTTACTCCAATCTTTCCTCTTTAGAGTCCTCCTAATATCAAGTGATTCTCTTTTCCTGAATGGTATTACAGGTCCTTTGGCTCTTGACAGGCATGAGCTAAGACATCATTATTCTAAAAGTCCAAAATCTGAAATGCTTCAAAATCTGGAACTTTTTAGATATTGACAAGACAGCTCAAATGGAAAATTCCACAGCATGAAAATTCATTTCATTCACAAAATGGTTTAAAATATAGCATAAAATTACCTTCAGGCTATGAATAAAGGGATATAGAAAACACAAATGTAATAGTGCTTAGACCTACGTCTCATCCCAAGGAAAGCTTTTTGCATACCTGCAAATATTTTAATGTCTTGAACAATCTCAAATCCAAACATTTGTGGTCCTAATGATTTCAGTTAAAGGATGCTCAAGTTGCATCATTTTTCCTTTAACATATTCAGGGTTCAGACTCTGAGTTCATCTATAGTGACATGGGCAGATGGGTTTTACAAATATGGCTAGTTCTCTTTCCAATATTTGTGCCTCAGAAAAATATAGGGTGAATTTGTAACTCACCAAAATTCATAGTAAGTGTGAAATGGGATAATCAGGGCCATGCTAAACCTCTTAAAGTTTAGAGTCTTCTGGGTGGATAGTTCCAGGCCCCAGTGACTTTAATTTTTCATGGTCTTTTCCTAGGAAAGTAACTTCTTCCTGTGGCTTGGTGGCATGGCCAATGCAGGATTCTATGGCTCTCCTGAAGTGCCTGTCTCCCACAGCATTAGTCACTTCTCTGTTTTTTTGATGGTGTCATTGATTTTTACTCTGATATTTTTCTCATTAACGAAACTCCTGTTCTGTTCTATGAAGTTTTCTGAGAATAACTTCATGTGTCTGTGAATCACACCAATGACTTAATTTTTTTTGTCTTGTCTGTAGCAATCAGGCACATTTTGGCTTCTCTACATCCTCTCAGCATGGAAACCTTTCACAGAGCTCTGGGTAAACTGTTTAGCTATCCTGAAATAGACTTCTTTGAGAAAGAAACAGAACAGAATGTTCACATAAAAGTGCTAGGGTGGATAATAATCATATTTAGCACTTAGATAGTAGATTTCATTCCCACATACTTTACAAACAACATCTAAATAAACCTTTCACCATTTCATTAAATAGATAAATAAGCACTATTATCTCAGCATTCTTTTCCATGGAGAGAAAAAAATCTTTGCTGGTTTATAACTGCGATAAGTAGGCGATTATTTCAGAATAATGATCCTCACTCCCATGCCTGTCTGTAAGCCTGACTCCAACTACCTGTTCCAATTTTCTTTTCAAGGGAACAGATTAATTGGTACCCATGTTGGCCATTGTGCAAGTGCAGTCAGACTCATTCAAAGAGTTACTGAGAGATGGGAGCCTGGGAAGTTTCCTTCACAGGATTGGCAAGATAAAGAAAAATAAATATATATGTGAAATCTATGAAGAAGGGATCTAAAGAGCGTGTCTCAGAGATCTGGGCCTCCCTCAGTCATTATTCCCATGCTTTGTAGGCAGGCAATCAAGCTGTCCCCAAGGCGTGGTAGAAGGTGGCTTACTGTTCACATTTGGTAAGCTTCAGAGATTGCACCTTTTCGACACTGGGAAGCATAAGTATTTCATCTCTTATAATTTCCTTGGGATGTTCTGCAAGCTTGGCGAAGGTTATTAGCATGTGTCTGTTACTTGGTTCATTTTCTGCTGTACTTCTCTTTGTGAGCAAACATTACATCTCCTTCCATTCAAAAAAGGCATGTGGACTTACTTCTCTGCTATCAAGTACACTTTGTTTCTAAACGATGGTGTGATACCAATTAGACTTTTTTTTTTTTTTTGATTTTTCGAGACAGGGTTTCTCTGTGTAGCTTTGTGCCTTTCCTGGGACTCACTTGGTAGCCCAGGCTGGCCTCGTTTTTTTTTTTTTTGATTTTTCGAGACAGGGTTTCTCTGTGTAGCTTTGTGCCTTTCCTGGGACTCACTTGGTAGCCCAGGCTGGCCTCGAACTCACAGAGATCTGCCTGCCTCTGCCTCCCAAGTGCTGGGATTAAAGGCATGCCCCACCACCGCCTGGCTCTTTTTTTTTTTTTTATTGTACAATGGCCTTGTTTCTTAAAACATCAAAAGTACAAAAATAAATCAGTACTCATATATGCTTCCATGTAAACTGGAAGTCTGTAGATGAACAGAATTATGGTGAGTGATGTGGATATAATTGTTTCATTAACCTATTAAGCTTATTATCTTGAGTCCTGGAGAGTAATGTGTGACTCTTGGTAACATCAAACTGAATGGCTCTTAATATTTCCAAAATAATGTGTTTGAAGTAGAGGTATAGGGATGGGACCCTGGAAGGAGTTGGAGTTCATTCTCACCACCATTGATCTGAGAAATATTTTCATTAGCACTCACGTCATCCCCATAATTTGGCAATGTCATAAGTCCATTCATAAACCTGGGATGAAATGAAATCTTCAGTATTCAGATTACTTTTGTTTGGTCTCTAAAGAATTAGTCTAATTATAGTCACAGTAAGATAATGGGTTCTAGAGTTTGGAAATATGATATGATGCTAAGACAGCATTTCACCAGAAAACTTGAGAGGAAGTCAGTATGACTTTACCAAAAAAACAAACCAAAAACAAACAAACAAACAAAAATACAAAAACAGAAAACTGGATCCAAGGAATGATGAATTGCATAGAGTCTAAAGTGTTTTTGATTCCAGAAGTAGAAAGAAAGTTCAGGGAGAGGCACTTGAGAAAATGGAGGCTTCATAAGCTCATGAACCTCCAGTCAAGTGAATCCTAGAAATATAGAGGAGGGTGGCTGAGTTGAGGACAAGGACAGTCTGTGAGTAAGGTCGAGGTTGGCAGCTTCGGTTGTCTGTCTCTGTTAGGATGGCATCTCAGGAGTAGCAAAAATACTGTGGAGAAGTCAAGATGTGACTTCTGAGCTCTTCAGAACACAGTGAGTCCCATAGCTTGCTGCACTCACTGAGATGGGTGATTCCTATACCCACTGCGTCTCCCACAGAACCACAGATAGAGAAGTGAAATAGACTCAATTTCTGAAAAATTCCCTAAGATACAAAAATCTCTTTCTTTTTAGAGATTACAAGGCATTTGGAGGTCTGAGAGGGTGATAAACTAGGAGATACTGGAGTTTCGAGTAAGCTGATGGGATAGATGATACTTGTGAGTCATCCATTCATCATTACTTCATTTATTTGGATGTTCTTTTTCAAACATATTATTAAAATGTATGTCTCAGAAAGAAAGTGAGAGAGTGAGGGGGGAGGAGGGAACTGAAGAGGCAGTGAGATTTTATGTGTACCGCATGCAAGTGCCCACAGAGGCCAGAAGAGGGTATCAGAACTCCTGGAACTGACTGGAATTACAGCCATTGTGGACCACCTGGAGAGGGTGCTAGAAACTGAACCTGGGTTCCCTATAGGAGCAATGGGTACTCTCAAGGGCTGAACCATCTCTCTGGCCTCTAAAAAGTATCTTGAATCAAACAAGTATAATTAGATC